ACCTGAAAGATCTTATTCACAGGGATACGAGATGACTCATGTGACTAGACTACAACTTGATCAACTTATTGAGATTTAAGTCTTTTATGTATATCTTTTTACATTGAGATTCACTATGAGGTAAAGTATTGTTTATAGTGGAGACTGAGGTTAGCAGAAATAACAGGTCACACCCACTGTACAGAATGGGTAGAGCTGTAGGAAACAGTATCTGCCTAATAAAAGATATAACAGTTTTCTCAAACAAAGGCAGATTTTATCTACCATGAAAACAGTGTAAAAAATTATAAATGTTTCTTTTTAATCTACCTATTCTACATGTACACATATTTATGTTTATAAATCAAACGTTTTCAAAAGAGAAATTAATATTCTGTTAGCTCAGAAAACATTCCCAGGAAATTTTGCTAATAAGTTATTAGATTCTGCCTCCTGCTAGTCATGGTTAGTACGGACTAGAATCTACCATAACTGGTTGATAACGATAAAGGACATCAATCATAAAAAAATTCTGCTAAAACATCCAATGAGATAATAAACACATACATATAGAGTAACGTCATGATAGCAAGTTAAACGAAACATCAATGAAACTTGAAAATCCTGTTTGAAGAAAGATAAAGGTATGCTATGAGTGGTGCAGCAAGTTAATTCAAAGTGTGATTAGACATCAATAATCAATATACAAAACTTGTTCTTAAGTTACTTTATAGTTTCTGAAATAAATATCACAAAGTTAGGCCTAACTGGCAAACACAACTTGAAATGTCATTTGTGATAATAGTTTGCTTAAAATATATTAATTATACAAGTTTAAATGTAAACTTTTTATCCAGATGTACATGTATATAATAATGAGTACATCATGTCAACCAAATAATTCACTGATTGTATAAATATCTCAAAAATATTACAATAAACATCATAAAGACAAAGTTGCTATGGAGTAATTGGCTTTATTCACATATGAATTTATAAATATCTAGCAGCTAAAAATACAAAAACCTAAAAGCATGAAGTAGGCAACATAGACTGTTTAGTATTCAAAACTAAAGCCATCTGGTGTTGAATCATCATTTTTATAGATTAAGATATCTTTTTTTTCATCTATATTTGGAGCACAGAGCTATGTCTTATATACCAAAGACAGTGATTAAGAGCAAACAACATTGACAAATCATGACATATAGCTATTTAATCCACTTTTTTGATCAAATACCATTGGCTGAGTTGCACAACTCACTTCAAAGCCAATAAACATTAGGTTCAGCAACTGAAAAAGTAAGAATCTTCTAAAATGACACCCTCCTTCAATTACACTCACTGAAAACCTGAACTGCTGTACCATAAAATTAAATGATCAAAGACAAATTAAAATAACAGTCAAATCCAAAATAAATTTCTATTAGTCATATCAAAGATGTGGAAACATGAATACTTCTTTCAAAAATATAAGTACTATGAGCCACAAAAAAAAGCTGAAATGGACTATCTATACAAACTAAATGGAGGTCAATTATTTTATAACAAAAAAAAAATTATCTAAAATCCTAAGATGTTAGTTTACAACAATCTTTGTGGCTTAGTTTAACAAACAAATTGGATGATAAGTAAACAAACTACTCACAAAATTTTAAGTTGAAAAAAATAATCTCTATGTTCCAAGAAAGGGTATTTAAACATACAGAAGAATAGAGACAACTCTTTAAGCATTCTTCTGATGATGGAATGATTATCTTGATCCAACTTTACATTTATTATTGCACTCATACACAATCACTAACAGTCATATGACAGTGGTAAGAATATAAATTTCATAGAAACTATTTTTCCAGAATAACAGTATTATTATTATTTCACTAAAATATAAATCATTTTCCTTGTACCAAAATAAACTGAATTCTGATTAGTGAAAACAGCTAAAAAATGATTTTTTTTGGTTAGTGCAAGTAAGCTCACTCTAGATTTAAAAAGATTCTAAAAAAAAACAGGCTTGAAACATTTTTTTTAACTAAACAAAGAATAGCCAATAAGCAATTATAGTTTGCAAGCAAAAGTGTCTGGCTTTGACAACAAGAAATGAATGGGTTCCGAGACTTTCGTACAAGAATTTTGAATTAAAAGTAAGATCACTGTTAAGAGTCTAGTTACAACTTGTTTGGAGTATTTCACTAATCTATGGTCTTGCTATAGAGTTAAATTCTAAGAACCCATCAGTGAAAGCAAAGGAGAATGTTATAGTATATCGACCCCACTTCATCTGTCATACCCAGTTGCCAACAAGGCCCGTCAACTAATACCAGGACTCAGACTGTCTGGGATATGACAGACATAGTAGTAGTCTAGGTGCTATACATATATATATATCATTAATTTTCCTGAACAACTGGTACTGCATGAACCACATTAAGCAAGTGAATTGAAATCACTACCAATTTTACTTAAGTCATCTACAAATCAATTTTTTGGGTAAGAATTAAAAAAACAAATGAGTTATTTTTTAGCATCAATTATTTTAACATTCATTATTATTATTTTTTCAATTCACTTTACTATCATTCACAAGAACTGGCAAACAAGAAAAATAGTCTTCTTGTTTCTAGAGCTGGTCAAGCAACCACAGCATCAATACGAGGAAATTACATTAGTAATTCTAAGAAACCATTAGTGAAAACAAAGGAGAATGTTATTTTGCCTAGTCTAATACCTGTAACTTGACAACTAATTGTCACAAATCTCAAATATTTAATGGGTGGACTAATAAGACTATTAGAAAGACAAGTTCCACTGCCAAAAATAATTGTTACAAATGGTGCTGACCATGAAACTTGCATGAAATACAAGGATTTATTCTGCCTTTAGAAATTACCTGTAATAGGTTATATCTGAATGTAAGAATTGCTCTCTTAAAACAATACTAATGCAGTAAAGATGATAACCACTGGTGTACCATTAACATTTATCAAAGTTAAAGAGGCAGAAGTAATCTATTGAATAACAAGTTTAGAAAAAAACAAAAGTGAACAAACAGGATCATCTGTTCATAAAACTCACAATTTCTACTTCACAACATCAATTGATATTGTGGCAAAAGTTAAAAAAAGTCAATATTAATGAACAAAATTCTCAGACAGAATGCAGCATCAGACAAATTATCAAGCACAGTAGGCTCCCACAATCAAAAGTCCAGATGTTGCATATTAATAAATCAAGTGGGAATCAGTAATATCTGGTTAGAGGACATCTAATAGAGTTCACTTCTCATTCCATGGCCATGTCAACACTCACAGCTGTGTCATTTGGAGAGAAAGTAACCCACATGCAGTACAGCAGTTGTTGCATAACAAAGTTACTGTGTAGATTGGATTCACAAGCAAGTTCACCAGTTACTCATTTTTTTAGGAAACCACAAACAATGGAGTTTAGGAAGTGACAGTAAATGATAATGATCCATGTTAGAACATGATGTCATTCCTACACTTCAGAGAAAATGACTTTTAAACAGAACAGTCTTCATTCAAATTGGTATTATTTCACCTCACCTTGCACAGCCTACCAAGACATTGCTGGGACATACTTTTGAGAAACTAGTATGTAATCAGAAAAAATTTTCCACACACAAACCATTAGAACACCCTCCAGATCTTACCAACACAAATGTTTAGTCAAGGAGCCACTTGAAACATAGCATACACTTCCAAGAGCAACTCCCACAAATGCAAGTAATAGCAGATATGGTGACCATTTTAATAATTCTCAGCACATTGGTTGTCCAAGTGTAGTTTGCAAGTTGGCACTGAAATGACTTATCTTCAATCTCATCAGTTCATATTCAACATATTACAGTTCTACTTATGATGATTGATTTTTGAGCTGTGAACATCAGATCAATACATCTAACTTTGTAATAAAAACATTTCCTTTTTTTTAAATAAAGATTGTAGAGAAGAGTTATACAAATACTCAAATACTGCCTTTTTTTATATATTAGTATAGATTAAGTAAATTTCATATTATAAAAACCTTTTAAATTAGGTTGAATAAGCTGTCTGTTAGGATTTGTTTTTTTATTTTGGTCTCATGAAGAAATAGCATTTGCTTATTGATTTTTTATAGCCTGGATCCAGTGTTCATGATTACCTTGTTTAGTATTCCATTCTCAAGTAAGAATTTGAAAAACTTACTTTGTTATGTTTATTAACATTCAAGTAGGCTCTGTGTTCTATGAAATATAATGTATTTCAGCATGTTATCCACAATATAAATGATACAAGTGTAACTTAGGACCTAAATTTAGCTTAAAACTACTTTTAAGATGTTCTTGCTATTATGTTGTAAATAATCAAATTTATAATTATCCTTACAATTATCAAACAAAGCAAATGAGAACTACCTCTAAGTGTAGTTTAAGTTGTAAAAGTAGAATGACAACAGCCCACTCCTATATTATGAACTGAAAAGTTTTCATATTAAAAATAATAAATAAAATTCTTATAGCAAAGCTATTTATTATATTTCATTAATAACAGTTTAGTCTAGTAGTGTTACTTACACTATTTGTATGTGCAAGTTTCAGTGTCTCTATAGTCATTTTAGTTTTAACTTCTTAAGTTCTTACCAACACATGTATTTAATAACTAATATATTACTCACTTGTTATTACTTTATTGTATTATTATCACTATTAGTATTAATTACTTTAGGAACCGTCTACTTAACTCGAAAGTAGTATAAAACAAGTATTACTACTACAGTAGTACTAATAGTAATACAGTAATTAATAGTAGTTGAACTTCTGTTCCTACTGCATGAATACTATCGACATAGTAAGCCTACATAGTAAGACGTGAAAGTGTAAAACTGAATGAGACCCGAGTGAGAAACATGCTCCTGCTGCTAGACTCTAAAGAAGTTGAAAGATTGAAAACAGTAGCAGCTTTAACTCACTTTCTTTTTAAAGATTATATATGAAACATTATAATTTGTAAATAAAAACTTACCTTTACTCTTCAGAGAATAAAATATAACTACTAAAGTTACTGATAAAAGTCTATACCACAGCAACCGAATAAAATCATCTCGATTATTCGCCATTTTGTTCATTATACTGTTCAAACACTAGAGGTCAAGTGAATTTTGACGTCACATGGTTCAATGATACCTAGACTGTATCGCCATCTCGAGGCAATTTATAGATTCACATTAATTTAACGCATATAAGAATATTTGTTTTCCTATTGTCTATGAAACCAAATAAAGCTTAGACAACGTATGACATTCTAATTTAATTAAATCGTTTCAGCACAATACACAATTATAAAAGTAAAATACTTAAAAAATTGAATAGTCTTTCAACGTATGGGTTTTAAACTCTAATATTCTCTGAGTTTTTTATGAACACTTTGTTTTTATATCTCCGAGTAGATTAATCTTCTTTTTTAAAAAACAAAATTTTAATAGTATATTTAGTCATTTTTGATGGCTCGCAGATGGTATTAACGTTCTATGTCATATTAACTGGAACACTGTTGACTCTTTTTTTTTACAGTTCTTCTTTTTTTTCTAATAACAGCTAAAATATTAAAATAAAACAATGATGGAAAAAATAAATATAGTAAGTTTATATATTTTTAATTAATTATACTGATGACTTTCATACGAGGATAAACAAGCAACAAAATGCAAGAAACAGATCTAATAAACACTGTGATAAAATGTAATGCTAAAATACTTTATTATACTATATAAAACATTAAGTGTTTTTAATATGGCCAGATGTGGAGTTATAATATAATACGGCACATAAAGCCTTTACTGTTTAAGTTGTTGAAATCCGTTAGTCTAAAATATAAAAAGCAAAAGCTTTTTTTCGTAAACAGTTTACTACAGAGCGTGTATAGATAACGTACTGTGCTTTCAACTGAGTACTTATTTGGATTGACAGAGACCTTACATACAAACTGGAAAATTAAAATTTGGTAATATACTGAATATATCCGAAAAATATATTAACTCACATGTTTAAACATCCAAAATTTAGGCATACAACGTGCAGATGCTTTTCATTTTTCAGATATTAAACACATAAGTTATCTCAAAATAATCACAATTCCAGCTATTTCTAGCAACCTCGAATAAATAATTTGCACAACAATTGAGGTTCTTCATCTTGGTTTGAATTTCCGTTAAACCAGCAACCAGGCTCAATAAGTCCAAAAACCTTTTGAATTCTTTAAACAGCAGCTTAACTTAATTCGCGTAGAGTTACTTAGAGTGGTAAGAATGAGTTTCAGCTAAACTTTTATGACCACTTACGGCCCACATGAACCAATTCGTTAGCTTCATCATTAGACTAATTTCTAGCCGATCAACAGAAACTGTAAATCCAGTGTGTGAAATGATGTGCTTCTTATATCTCCACTAACTCTTTGAAAGTCGTCCTTAAATAACGAACTTCTTATTGAAAACTGAGATTGTTTTAGTCATCCAAGCTAAAACTTGCACCTCAGATTTAGCTAATCCATGTTTTGAACCCGAACTTCACAACTCTTCCTACCATTCTTTTCTTCTGTTTCAATTCTTGCGTTCTGGTAGACTTCAAGGTGAATTTTGTTGTTTTAGGTCACTTTTGTTTTATCCATCACGGTAACGAATACAGTGTCGCTGCTGACCACCACTGTGAAAATTTATACTCGTCTGTTTTCCCAATTGCTGGTATCTCTTACTGTAACGTTGCTATTTGCAGTTCTTAGGTTTTTAGAATAGGATAACTTTCACATTTGCGGAGTGAATTTCTCTTGGAAACTTCTCATTGTAAATATCATATTAATGCTTCTAGACTATTATAGCATACTTCAAATTAGGGGTGAATGAATGTAAGATGTCGTAACGATTCCGCTATCTTGTACATTATTTCTATACTGTCTACTAGTGATATTTATGAATTTAGTTCCGTAATAAGTTGAACATTTTCTTTCAAAGTGTGAGTGTAAATCGAAAGAACTGTTTTAGGAATCGTGGTTATTTTGAGATAAATTATCTTTATAATACCAAAAACATAATGATACTGCAGTAAGTTGTTTCGTTGAATGTAAATATTTACAGAATCATCTGTTACAAATTAATTACTTTTACATTTCCGATTACTACCAAAATTTTTATTTCTCGATGAATATGTGCATCAGGTATAAATATTCAAATGTCGCGGCAGTCATATGTAAAGGAGATGTAGGACAAGCCTGGTGGTTTACAGGGTTTTCTTGATGTCACTGCTTTCAAGATTACAGCTATTCAAGAAACTATGAATGTCAAGTTTATTACAATATGAAAGGAATGAACTTGATAATTGAAATTGCTAATGACACAGTTGCAAGAGTGCAAAGAGATGTAGGTCCAGTTCAAGATTATTTCCCAGGTAAAAGAATGAAATGACGAACAACGGGCTATCAGTTTTGCTGTCCACTTGAAAGGACCAGAGCCAACGATACTGAACAGGAAAAATCAGGAATTTATTTGTCATTAATATCTGGTCTTTCCAACCGCCTTAGAATGGCCCATTAAAAGATGTCACTAGGAAAATTCAAGAACAGAATGAAGAGGAAGGGAGAACCTTCTCGTTGAGCTTAACATGGAACCTTTTCTTCAGTTGTCCTACCTTTGCCTCGAAAAACACCATGGGTTCATTAGCACGTAATTAGTTCATCGATGATACTCAGGATTAAGTTATTTGCGTTATTCTGAAACAAAATAGAATCATTTTAGCCCTAAATAATATTTGAAGGTTGAAACAAAAGCAATATTTTGGTTACGTCCTTTGTACTGTGATGTCTTATCATACACATATGTCATCGAAAGGGTTGATACGTAACCAGCAAAGGTGTTATATTCATATTACTTATTAAAAAATACTCTTTCGACACTGAATAGCCTTCTCTTAACGCACTAAATTGAGAGTGCCTTTACAGTTTAACATTTTCTATAATATATGAAAAATTCTATCTCTCCATCCATAATCGTCCATCTATCTATCCACAATCATTCTGACATTTGGGGTTTTTCATCTAAAAAAGCGACATCAATTTCTTGCCGACCTAATATCATTGCCTTAAGAAACATAGGGAAGCTTAGTTTGGCATTAATATTGTGTTAAGTAGATTGCTTGTTCTTGCTACCTCTTGGAAACCACTTGGCATAAACTCCACAATATTCTGGAGTACATAATGTTAGATGTAACCATTCTTAAAGCAAACATTATCTCCAGTATTGAGGATAAATGAGAACGTGCTCATTATAATACTTCAATTCGTCCCATAGGTTCTTAGTTGAGTCGAGATTTGAGAATTGGAGTATCAAAGAAGATGGTAGAACTCCTTCCTCTACTCTTCATACAATAACCAACAATAATGGTGCGATTGCCATTTTTAGAATAACTATCACCTTCAGGATAAAATTGAGTATAAGAGGGCGTACTTTATCCCCGAGGGAATACTCGCATATTTGCGGGATGCAGTTTAGCCATTCACAGAAATCAAAGGACCCAGTCCGGTGCCAAATGTACCCTACTTAAATTTTCCATCTTTAGCAGCATTCATAGTGTATTGAGATTAATCTGATCACATTACAACATTGTTTGTATACAAGCCGTGTTTTTCATTTATTTATTTTTTCTCACGAGTTCTTCAGTTTAACTTAAACAAGCAATACACAGGGATCATCGAAATTTATGAATTATCTGCATGTACTAATACAATGACGTTTATATTAGCAATTTTATATTTGGTTCAGAGCAAATTCCTAACCGTTCGACAGTACAATATCGCTAAAGATGGACTTTGCCTCGAAAAATGTCACAATCTTCTCTTATCTCCAAAGCTAAGACTATCATCCTAAAAGAGAGCCTTCCAGCCCAAAACGTCATTGTGTTGAAACTATACATAACTATTGACTCCGTTAACAAGCTAATAAAGAAGGTTTTGAAGTTGATCGAGGTTGACATGTCAAAGGCTCACATGTTTTAAGTCACATCTCAAAATCAACTGTTGTTATTATGACAACGATGTCTGAAGAAAATAGAATGATTGCAATCCTATTTGATTACCTACCTGTCATGCCTCCTGGTACAGCTCCAATGGACTTTTCTGCTTTCGATCTGCTTGAACTTAGTCCTTGAAGCCGACGTCCACGTACTGTAGAAAGCCTGTGGAATATTTGTGGTCTGAGATTGACTTCACTATATCCTCCACGTGAGGTTTTTTTGCAATGAAACTACCATTTCGGACAGTAGTGTGTAGTTGTGGTTATTAGACTAAGCAAGATCAAAGAGGGAGGTAGCACTTAGTACAAGGCTACCATATGACATGGAACGTTATTTTTATAGAGTGGTTAACTCTCAACATTTTAAATCTCAATAAATATGTAGTTTAACAGAGTTGTTAAAAATCAGTCTATAGGTGTATAAAGTTGAACTTGGTAGCTTTTTAGGCTACACAGTAGAGTGAATATTCACCTTTAGCAGTTTTAAGTTAAAGTTTTCAGAAAACTGATTACAATTATTTTACAATAAAATAAAAATAACACCAAACAGAAATTTAATATTAATAACGGTACAACCTAAAATTGGTGCAAATATTTATTTATCTGCGTTTAATCTATTTATCTATTTTTATCAATGAAATTCTAACGACATTGGTTTGTAGAAAACGAAATAGTTATGTATAAATTTATACTTACAGAAATAGTAATACAAAATCGCTTGCTTGTTGAATATATTTATGGCTCCCGGTGGCTTAGCGATAAATTTGAGGGCTTATAATGCAAAAAGTAGGGTTTTGATACTCGTTGTGGAAGTAGCACAGGCTGCTCATTGTGTAGTTTTATGCTTAGCCACAAACTCTGATATTATCTCATCAATCTTAACAAAAAATTGTGTTACTATTAATTGAAAACAAATAAAGATTTTTTCTATACCTATTTATATCGTCTATTTTCTATACATAGAAAAGTAAACGTTAACGTTAGTTTAAAGTCTTGCTTCATCATTGGTGAAAAGTTTAGTTTACTGCTGGATCAAAAAGTATTATTGGGTCTTAATAGCAGAAA